GACATTTTCACGCGTCGTCGTTAGAAAAAAAACATTGTAATTTAGGTGTCGGGTGTTGGATAAAGTTGAAAACAAGTTCAGCACCCATTTTGAGAGTACCTTACGAAAAAATTTAATTTTGACAGTTGTATAAAAAAAAATGGGTGCGTGTACTTATGTAGGCGCGTGAGAAGTTATCCTTCTTTGGCATCGTTTAAAATTAGTTTTTAATTGCATGCAAATAATTAATTACAATAAATTAATAAAAAGTCTGGAAAAGGACACAGTCAATAAAGTTCAGTTTTAATTTGAAAATATAAATAAAGATGTGGTTTTTTGTTCTACTACACCAATGGTCAAGAGATGGCGCTGTAGTCTCCTGAATCGCGCTTTGGTTCCGTTGTAACAGATTAATAAATACTTTTGATATTATAAATATGAATACCTATAACTGTTACTTTATTACAAAAAATAAAGATGTGGTTTTTGGTTCTACTACTCCAATGGTCAAGAGATGGTGCTGTAGTCTCCTGAATCGCGCTTTGGTTCCGTTGTTCCAGATTAATAAATACTTTTGATAGGCCTTCACAATGCAGTCGTTAGCACCCACTAAATAGAGATTCTATTTCTATTTTGTTGGTAGATTTTCTTAATGTGCGGTAAACACAAAAGTAACGCATGAACTTGGTCGCTAAAGCGACCAACTTCATGCTGTTAAAATTTTGTGTTACAGTGATGCGCGCGCATCTTAAAATTTCACTCTCATCATTTTTTCATAACGCGCCTTAAGAAGTATAACTTCAAAAACAAATTACTTTAAAAGATTTCTGTCGTGTCTTACGTCAATGATTGTTTATTAAATTCTTATGCAATAATAGTAACAGAACATTATTTGAGAGAAACAGACACGAAAAACCTGCACCAGCAAGATATTTTTCGCAGAAGACTCTTTAACATCTGTTAGTCGTGTACCGTATAGGGTACCATCGATTCCATCGAGTTCGTGTACCCGTTGGTACAAAAGGCATTTCCAAGTTTGTGAGCTCTATTTTCACGTATGAATTCTTACGTAGTGAATTTGTACACTGGACATTTATTGGACAAACGTCACAAGCCTTACCCAACTCTTTGTAATGTCAACATAAAGGTCTTGGGGTATTCCAAAATAAATTGGGCAATTTGTCTAACATAAATATATTTTCTTAAGCTTAGATTGCAAGGTAAGCCTCGCATAACAAATTAGCTTATAAATTATTTTACGTGTGTCAATTAATCACGACTACGGACCTGCAAGTGACTCTTCTTGTGTGCTACTGAATTTGAGAGGGTTAAATGACTGATAGTAGGTTTATAAAAACAATAGCGCTTCGAAAATCATTAATCAAACACTCCTGAAGCTACAAGGGCACGTAATAATGCAAAATACGGTTTCCTGCATTGAATTGTTGTGCCCAATCCCCTAAGAAACTTAGTCACCGACAGACACACAAATGTACCACTAAAATGTAGTGTTATTTCACTGTTGTCTTCTGTAAGGTGAAGTAACCTTTACCATATAGGAACTCCAATTCGAGCAAAAAATGCGCTTTACCAACTCACTTATCACAATGCTAGGATCGGACATTACAAGTTTGTACAGTCGCAATGGCTTGGCAGCTTCTTTAATTTGGAGTTTTGCCCATGGCATAAAAAAATCCCTATTAGTTTATCAACGGTTTTATATAATTTCAAGAAATATGAAGAGTTTCTGTTATTTATAAATTCAATTTACTATTCAAATTTTATCTGTATTAATAAAATTTGTATTTGTTTTTATACTGTATGACACAGCAATCAAAATGCAGGCAAGCAATTAATTTATATTTAATCATTATGTAAGGAAAGGCGACCTCATGAATCATCTCTGAAGTCATTTTTCAATTTGACGACTCCGTAAATAATAAAACAGGGAGAAGAAACATCCCTTGCTGAGTTTCTTGCCGGTTCTTTTCAGTAGTACAAGGTCTCCCGCCGTAGATTTACGAACTGATGGCGTAGCTTCTAGACATTAATGAGTGCTTGTAACAGCCTAAACCGAATTAATGATTTTGATTATTGATTATATTATTATTATATGTAACAAGATATGAAAATATTGCATTGAAAATGAAGGTCTTTCAAATACCTTTTGTCCATATTGACATAGTTTTCTTTTAATTAGAAGGTCCTAAGTGCAATTAAGTGTTCTTTACACCGGAAAATTTGTCTGTTTTGTCATTTTTTAGCAAATTATCGGGCAAGTGAGTCAGAAATCAGTTGGTTCGATCGTATATCAGCAAATTCTATTGTAGGAGAAACGTATTAGAAGTTCCGATAAATTTACTTATACACACACAAACACGCGCGTAGCGATTGGGTGTAGGTGGAATAATACGGCATGTTGTGTGATTGAAAACGTGTCAATGATCCCTTTTTCTCGAGTATACAACACGTCCAGGTGTACAAAGGCTTGAGCTTAAACCTATAACGATCATAATATGGATTTTTGGTATGATGTCGGGGTAAAGTAAACGAAATTTGACTAAGTCCGTCAATTAGATTATCAAAAAATAATGAATACTTATTTTTTATTTTGTAAATCAAAAAAAGACAAAAATAGAGCTCGTCAAAGTTTGGGAGTGGGGGCTAGTGACGTCACGAGACATTTTAAATCAGTATAGGTATCTGTATACTTAATATTTTGATTATGTGTAAACCTAAAAAGACAAAGTCAAAAAAGTTAGTCATCATCCTTAACTGTTATTGATTTTGATAACACGTTTCGCAAGTCGCGAAGAAATTCTGCTTAAAAATTGCTAGAGAATGCATACAAACGTAATGTCGATATGTGCGTGACAGTGACAGATTTGACGCTTCATTCTGAGGCAACCCTCTAGAATTTCAACTCCACGCGATACCTTCACGAGGAAACCGGGCTACCACACAATACAGAAAAGAGTACCGATTAGATTAGTAAGAGACCATTTCTTAACCCTGATATTGGCAGAATCATCGTGCATAAAGATGGAGTCATAATATCCAAAGTGGAAGTGGAGGCAACCCTCTGCTTGAGCGCCGTGGTTATAATAGTGATAGTACAAAATCATAAACTTTAAATAGATTTCTCATGCAACGCTTGCAAATGCTTGATGCTATATTTTACGTAACGCTTATTTACCAATAGCAAATGAGCCTTTACCTATATAATTTCTTTGAACAAATATAAATATTTAGCATTTTACTCTGTATTGCTCTATAACAGTGTATCGCCTTCGCTCTACGCTCGTTGGTTTCTTTTATTACCCGTGTTGTGGGAGTTGCAAAACAATTGAGCATCGCACTCGAAGTTCTGCTCGTGAAAAGCTGATAAATTAATTAAAGCGGGTCGTTGACTTGTTACATAAACGATTTAGTTATAACACACTGAAACAAAGCATCAGTAGATTGTTATTGTAAATTTGTAATAATTTGTATCCTTCGGGCGAAGACAGTTGACCAGTTCTTCCAGAAGAATGCCTTATTAGTGTTGACCGTTACTAATGAGGCAGTCTTCCAGGTCGTGTCTTCGCTTATTTATTGAAATATTCTCAATTACAACTAAAACTACTTATTTGTGCACACGCTGTGTCCTAGATCCTAGATATTTTGGACCATTTAAAAGAGTTATACGTAGGCAATAAAACTATATTTTTGTTGTTTTTTTTTTTGTTTTAGAATAGACGATCCAAGGAAAAATAATATAATTTTTTAACTATATTAATCTAAGTTTTCAGGTTTTTTTCCCTAGTCTTCATTCACCAAGTCAACTACGCCCGAAAAGGAACTTCGTTAAAATAAAATCATTTTTTTTTACAATATTGTAATAATTTATATTGATATTCGGTATGGTCGGTAGTAAAATAAATTATATTGTGTTTTTTAAACTCAAATAACGAGATTTTAGATTTGTGATCATGTGTTTTTGAGGTCGTCAATCATATTGTTTTAATTTATGAAAGAGGTTTATGTTCCAAATCGTATAAAAATAATTGAATCAAAAAATATTTAGATCACACGATAGAGAGGCAGATATATTTGAGAACATGATTTTTAAATGAAAATCGTATTCTTAGAACGTCAAAAAAGTTATAAAAAGACGCTTTTGAAGCCGTTTTGGCATGTTTAATTTAATCGTATTCTTAAATGTATTTACTTATCTATCACAATTCAAATCTAAGATACGATTTGTGTACACCGAGCGAAAGTAATTTTTAGGCCATCTCCTTTATCACGTTATTTTTTTATATAAAGAACCGGCCAAGTGCGTTACATGCCACGCGCAGTGTGGGGTTCCGTAGTTGCCTGTCGTTACCGCAATGTATTTGAACAGAAGTCTTTACTTTCTGTATTGGAAATTAATAAAAAAACAATTACTATTAAACTATATACTTCAACTAATATTCCTAAATCAAATTCAAACTGCGTCTCAAACTCAAAATCACTTCAAAATTAAAATTTTCTTTTTATGCGAATGATATTCGCCTACCTTTTGCAGTGCTGTATAAAATTAAAATATTAAATTAAACGATAGCGCAATTCAGAACCGTTGCCGTTGGTACTCGCGGTAGCTTTGTGGAACTAATTATATTTTATTGCGGTTTTTAAATATTTACTTTAGATTTGTAAGGTTTTACGCTACAATAACTTCATCTATGTAACTATGAATGTTTTCTTTTAAGGAATATCTAATAGGTAAGATTTTTTTTAACCAAAGTTGAACTCTTAAACTATTATAAATTTTCCTTAAAATTTTTCCAGGTTTTTTAAGCGAACAGTTTAGCTTTTAGAAGGGGGGGATACCCTAATCGAAAAAAATAGCACTTTAAAATTCAAGATTTCGCAAACGGATCCCTATAGCGGAAAATAGTCATAAAAACCCCTAAAACTAATTTTAAAGGACCTATTCAATGAAACGATGGGGTAGCTGCTGAATAAGGGTGGCACACAAGCTTGTGGTCCGCCTAATGTTAAGTGGCCACCATAGCCTATGGACGCTTGCGAAACAAAAAATATCCTCCTCGTGGAGCCCTGGAACTTTAGCTACTGACAGAAACACAACACCACCAAAAGGTAGTGTTACTGTGATCTTTTGTAAGGTGGAGGTTGCTTCCCCAGACGGGCGCTCCAATTCGAATGGAAAATCAGCTATGCCTTACCTCTCCTATTATGGCAAGGTAATTTTTTTTTTGTTTCCAGAAAAATGCCAGCACTCTGACCACAGCCGCGTGACGCTGAGGAGGTCCGACCAGCGCCCTCTGGCACGCGCCCGCAAAAGGACCCTCAAGATGACGATCACCATTGTCACCGTATTCGCTTGCTGCTGGCTACCTTATGCCACCATGACTCTATGGTAAGTAGAAGTAGCAATGGTCATCATCATCATTATCAGTCTAATAATGTCCCCACTGCTGAGGCACAGGTCTTATTTATGGATGAAATAGAAAGGAGATTGGAACCGCACCACCCACGCGGGTCCAGTGAGGATTGTTGGGTGAAGAAAATAAATGGTACCTATGTTACCGAGACCTTAAAAGTCTTGTAAAATTGCTTTTACCGGACTGCGCACGCTAGTAGCTCGAAGCGCGACTCGCAAAGCAGAGGGTATTGTGTTTAACAGTCAATATTTGAGTACATCTCAGCGTGTCTTTTATTTTAAAGTTGCTACAATGGCAAAAGCTATATTTTTTTAAGTAAGTATTAAATATTCGAAAGAATATCAAATACTTACTTTAATGTATGAATAAGTATATTTTTATCTTATAAATTTAATTGTAATATTACTTATACTTTAAGAAATTAGACAGATAACACCTACCTATGTAACTAGGTATTTGTTTAATCAAAAAGCTTGTATGTGAATTGAACTCTTTATTACTCAGTGTCGAGTAGTAGATATTACTGCCTTAACCTTCACTGTTCTTTACATTTATTTTAAATAAATCTTAATTTCCTTTGAGTTTTATACTTAAATGGCAATGCGGCTCAGGTGCAAATGGGTGCAATTTGCTTTCTAATAACACAATATGGATTTTCCAAAATTGCCTTCCATAGAAACATCGTTCTGGCATTTTCGAATACATATAATAAAAATGACAGCTGAATCGATTTAGTGATTTGCAAAGAATTCTCCGTAGTGCATTGACAATTTTATTGCTTTATATTGTCACAACTATGTAAACTATGTATAGTGTTCTGGTAAAATCAGACAGATTTTCCGTAGATCGAGATTTTCAGTAAAATCTGTCTCCAGTGTTTTCGCGGTTTTGTTTCAAGAGCGTTAACACACAATACACTTACTAAACATACATGTTTAGTGAGTGTATTGTGTGTTAACTGTGTGATGAATAAAGTACTGTCAAGCGTGAACTGCCATGTTATATCGAACCCCATCCCGATACGTAAATATATTATTATCAATTCGTAAAACAAAATCACGATTATGAAACATTATTTTAATAAAATTTTATATTCGTGAAGTGATTAACCAATGGTGTGAGTGGATAAAAGCTTTCAAAAAGACTTTTTATTTATTGCGATAAGAAACCTTAATATATTAAGTTTACTTTTGAGTAAAACTCGTTTGTGTGTTTGTTTGTAATGTTATTTTTTTAATTATAACATTGATGTTTAGGTACTGGCAATAAGCTGTTTCAGAACCTTTAATAGAGGTTTTAAAGCATGGGTGTAGATAAACTTATTTAGTTTGTAAGAAAAGTTTATGAATTTTCGAAGTACTTTGTATGTAGCTAGTAGGTATTTTTTTGCTCCATCAATCTGATGTATACTTATATAATATATAGTAAAATTATAAAGAGGAAAGATTTGATTGTTTGTTTGTATTGAATATGCACCGAAACTACTAGACCGATTCGGAAAATTCTTTCAAGTTTAGAATCCTTCAATATCCGTGATGAACAAAGGCTATAGTGTATTTTCAAAAAAGTTAGGGTTCCGTATGAAAACTTCGATAATGTAACCCAATGTTTGAAAATAATACAAAAAATAACCTTACATCGCGTACGCTGCGGAAGTAAATAATGGAGCAAAGTAATGTGCTAAAGTTTTATAGAGAAGATCGATATCTACCTATAATAGTTGAAAAAAACTATAAAAACATGCTTATAAAAATGCACGTAAAAACCAAAAATAAATTATGAATAGTTCAAGTTATCGCAATTTCTGGGCTGAAGTGTAAACTATGTGCTCTTTAATATTATATTTGATTGTAAAAGCGTGGGGCGCTGGAACAGGAAAGACTTTTTGTATAATTTTCTGAGAAATCAAGATATTAGTAATGCGATATTCATCGTTATAATGAATAGAATATCTAAGGGAATACTAGTCGTGTTGCAACTCAGTTACTGGAACGCCAATCTATGTAACCTGCTTCCCGTAACATCGCTTAACTTGATTTCTCAGCATTCGGTACAATGGGTCCTAAACTACGCAATATTTTTTTACTTGGAATGGAAGGTGTATAATAATAATAATACACTTTATTGTAGTACACCACACAGAATACAAAAGAAACAAAACATGACAGACAGAACGTACACAATATAGGCGGCCTTATTGCTAGGTAGCAATCTCTTCCAGGCAACCCATAATAGATAAATAAATAAATAAGAAGGACATAGAGGAGGGGTGTGACAGCAACACTAATTAATAATATAGGAAACAGATATATGAGGGAATGAAACATAAGAGTGAGAGAAAAAGTGAAACTTTAAGGTTGGGACAGGAAATAATTCCGAACTTAATTTCTAAACGAGTTCAGAGTGCGAGCTTTGCAAAAGTTGTACGGTAATGAGTTCCGTAGATGTACAGAATGCACAGAGAAGGAATAGGAAAATTAATCGTTTGTATGATGTGGAATTTCAAGGGTAAGTTTAGAAGAAGAGCGTATAGTGAGTTGTGATGTAAATGAAATAAATGAGAAGCATTCTTTTAAGTAATGTGGAGAAGAAGGTAGGAAAAGTATGGAATAAAGGAGCGTAAGGGTGTGTAATCCGTGTGTCGACGAACAGGGAGCCAATTCAGTTTAGAACGGAAGTGTGAGTCATGGTTCGTACTAACGGAGGTTAAAAATAAATGTAATACATAAATTTTTAAATTTTCTAGTAAACTTTTCTTTAGATTTAAACATCTAGCAGTTAAATGCAAAAAAAATAAATAAAAACATAATACATAAATTCTGCAGATGTTCCAGTTTATTTAGGAGTTCCTCGGAAAGGTCGGTGTAACAGGCATTGCCATAGTCAATGATAGACAGTAAAAGAGTCTGCGCCAGAGTGATTTTGCTACTGGTGGGCAAAAAGTTGCGAAAGAGGTTAAGTGAGCTGTATGTAGCAAAAAATTTCTTCCTGACAGCCTCCACCTGCGGCCTTCAAGATATACTGAAACACACACTGATCAAAGACTAACCCAAGGTTTTTGACAGTGTTTGATATAGGAATAATAGTCCCATCAAAGGTTTTAGGAGGTAAATGTCAAAAATAGATTCTTGAAATGAAGTAGGAGCTGCCAATTATGATAGCTTGCGTCTTTGTGGGGTTCACAGTAAGGCCGAATGAATTACTCCAGGAAAAAAATTAAGCCAGGCTAGCGTTAGTAATTGCTATTGCATCTGTGAGGTTTATAATTATTATGAAGAAAGTCATTGTGTATAATACAAGCCTTTGAAAAAAAAACTATAGTCTACACTGCAGCTGCAGGGCCACTAGTTATGTTATAAAACTCCAAAAAGTTAAGTATATTATATGTACCCTCGATGGCGAAGGTAGATAACACGTTCGGCCTGTGATCGTGGAAGTTAAGCTACTTTCACAATGGGTAATCATTGGATGGATGACAAAAAGCTTATTATTTCGATCTCCTCCGTGCTTTGGAGGGCACGTTAAGCCGTTGGTCCTGCCTGCATCTACAGTCGTTAGCACCCACCATACCGCACTAGGCCCGCGTAGGGGGTCACGGTCCAATCTCTCTATTCCATCTATAGGAAGGCCTGTGCTCCAGCAGTGGGGGCATTAATAGGCTGATGATGATGATAACGGTATTTAATTAAAACTTTGATTTCATTTTATGTATTTATAGTCCTACTTCAAATAGTGTATTCTATATAATTCCTTATCTTTACAATGATTTTCTTTGCTAAATTGCGCAACAAAAATATCAAAATAAGGCTTAAAATTTTGAGTCTACTTAAAAGCAATAAAATCTAAAATAATTTTAAATAAAATATTGAAGAAATCACAAACCCTAAAATAATAGTAGTTTTCTAAGAAAAATCTTATATTCTTTATACAGTATAAATAATGTTGAAGGGCAGACAACCCTTCATTAAACAATTTTCGTGTAAAAACTAACATTTTCATTTCTTACATCTTCACGCATTTTTGCCGCGGCCGCTGCGACAACATACGGCCGAGGTCACAGTGGTTTGCGGCCTGAAGCGCCATTCGTTTTGGTACCTATTTGTTCTATGGACGGACTACAGATAACATCTAATCGTAACGAAGTCTTATTACCTCATCTTATTAGAACCCTTTCAGTCTACGAATAAAGAGAGTAAGTAACCTAACTAAAGAATCGGCTGCGGGTGCGACCAACCGTGCACAGGCCGCGTCATGGCCGTTCGAATTTGAATTGTATGCGATATTTTAACAAAACTATTCGTTAACAACTCACATTTTAAAGCAATTTGGCACCATTTGTTTCATTTTTGACAGATGCCATCGAGACATATCGAGACTTGCTCGTAAATACGTTAGCGACTCTTGTTAACATAATGTTACATAGTAACTAAAGGTAAATCGTTTAACTAAGAACTCGCCTGTGGCATACAGGGAACCGTGAGTGGTGCGGGCGGCGGGCACTTGTAATTTTGACAAGAAAATTACTAAATAATAAACGTTCTCGTCCTCCCCCACACCCTTTACCCCGCAGGCGAGGATTATTTAATTCTTCATTATTTAAAATGATAGTTTTAAAATAATCAAACACGAAAAATGTGTGTAATTGAGGAGTTTCATTCTTTGTGTCCAAAAATTCTCGCCAAATCTTCACCAACTGCATGTCAGACAATCACACCAAAATCATCATTTTGGTGTGATAGTCTGACATGCAGTTGGGGAACTTGACTGATTTAAACAAAAATCATCATTAAAATTCTTCCACGCATGTTGGAGATATGCGCGTACAACAACGATATTTAATCTTTGGCAACAACAGTAAAAATAAATGTACTACCGAATTGAGAACCTCTTCCCCTATGAAGTCGGTTATAACAATGGGTTTCTCTACTTTCGCCTTTCGTAGACTGAACTTCCAATATTCGCGTTACAGAGCTCT